CCTTTTTCCAACGATTCTAGCCCTGTCTTTTATGAAGGTAGTATAAAATACACGATGATGCACTTTGTTGGCCAAAAAGCTTCCATCCTGACATGTTTTTTTTTAAAATGCCACTATTAACTGGAAAATATCTCACATAAAGAATGCCTTACAAAGACCTGGTGGGCAGCTTTTTCAGCAAAAGCTCTATTTCAATTTTATGCCTCTCAAACATTTTTTTTGTTTGTTTCTTTCTTTCTGGGCTCATGAGTCCATTCTGTAATTGATGTTCACTTTCCCTTTGAGTGGGATGTTGTTCATCCCGTGGCAGAGTGGGGAGAGGCAGCAGGGAGGAAAGTAAACACTTGTGAGCAGGCAGAGTAAAAATCTTTATAGGCACAGAAAATTTTGGCCTTGTGTTGTTTTCATCAGTCTTCTCCGTTTTTATATATAAAAAGTGTGTGTGTTTTGTACAGTATATTTGTCTCTGTGTGCAAACATTTTACGCAGAGCTTTTATAAACTGTGTGACTCATAGCTAGCAAATCTGTGAAGAGGTGATAGTTATGTCGTGATGCATAAGCACAGATGTAGTCAAGTGCCAGCTGTACAAGGCATCTGTTATTTGTCTTATATTGCTGCATGGCAACAGTCAAATAGAAGATACAAGAGCCTGAGTGTATTTGTGTATTTATTAATACCAATATTTTGAAATTGTTGGGGAATTGATGTCCATTACCTTTAAAGAAGTCGCTATCTCTGCGCTGAGCAGCTATTTTAACAATCAGGATACATAATGAAAATTTGTCAGTCTGCGAGATTAATTTGCAGGAGTTTTATTAGTGACAGACTTGATGTTATTACCAGACTACAAAGCCCAGTGTTTTCACACTCCTATCTTAATCTCTTCCCTGTACATAATCATTACTGGTGCACTCGAGATGTGATCAGAGCCCTTCTCATCAATGAGACATACGTAAACCTGCAGTCCTTCAGTTTATCAGCACAAAAGCTTCTTAGCCAGAAGTCTCTTTGCTTTAGTTTCTCCCAAACAAGGCTAAGATAGGGCATCTACTAGAGTCTTTCAGGCATTTTTACCTACAATGTCTGTATGATCCTTTGATGACATGAATATTCGGGACTAGTCCTGAATTAGAGCAAGATGCAGGAATTTTGGTTTGGTACAATTCTAAGGTTTTGAGAACTTCTCATTGCTGAGAGATGCTTTTGTGAGTTTGTGGGGCTCTGTCTTGCAATCTGTGGTTTTGTAACTGAAATTTAAATATACTGATTACACTAAACGTATTTTTTCATTCTCCTAGGTGGTGTAATTTTTAATATTTGATTGTGTATTTGTTTGATAATTCAGTGAAGAAAATTGTTAAGAACAAAGCATTTTGCCTAAGTAAATTTTTCTGGAGATCCTGCAAAGGACTCCAGGCTGTTTATCAATATTATTTTGTCTTACTGAATCCAGCAATTCTATTTGTAAATTTAAATGGGGCATTTTGCTTAAATCTTCCTGCTCTGTGGTAACATAAGAGAATAATGAAATAATGTAGGTCGTGTGAATGTTACAGAAGAAGGGAAACACATTCGTTCTCTGCTTTCGATTTTGGCAGGTTTGGGTTCAAATTCTTAAATGAGTTAAAAGGAGCTGAGATGTCTACCTTTTAAAAACTGTATTTGGGACTCAGGGTAGATTTTTGACTTTAACAATGTGAAGGGAACACTGTAATTAAGTCTGACTTCCTCTGCAACTTGGGCCATAGAAATCTCTGAATTCCCTGTTTATAGAAAATTGGGAATTAGGAGTAGTTCAGTGGAGGTCACAAAGTGTCAGCAAAAGCTGCGTTGTGCTGCTACTCTGGTAGCAAGCCAGTTCTAGCTTTTGCAGCCCTATTGCACATCTTTTATTGCTCAATTTGTGTGCTTCTGCTTCCTTTCTTACTTCCAAGCTTGTCAGACCTTTCACTGAGCCCTTTCCGTGAACTAACCTGGGGGGAGAATTCCCTCTCGAGGAGAAAGCAAGGACAAAGTGTTATTTTTCTGTTGATTTAATACACTCAAATGGGTCAATATAGAATCCATTGCGTATCAGAGGCCAGGTAGGGAAAGTACACAGAATCACTAAGCCTGAACTTTTCACATCACTGAAATGGAGGAGGGAAGGATAGCTCTTATTACTGCTTGTGAGTAGTGTGGACTAATCAAGGTACCCTTATTATTTTTTAAGTGCTGTGGCAGGGAAATGAATCCTTAGATCTATGTCTATAATCCACATTCTCCAGTCCTAGAAGAATTGATCTTGCTGCCAGCTGAGGACATATAAAGGAGGGTAAAGGAAGACCATTCAAAATGCTCATATTTGAAGAATGGTTGAGAAATAATGTTGTTGGAAAAGAAGTGAAATTCTGCAGTGTTGGAGAATCCTTGCTGTGTGGAATTCTGTTGAACAATGAAATTGAAATCCTTGATTTCTTTTTTTTTTTTTTTCCCCCCCAGCAAGTTTAAACCATGTTATTGAGTTGTTACTGAGGCTTGATTGGAAAAGAACGTGACATTATGGATCTCAGCGTTGTGTCATTACTCGTTTAGGTACAGAGCTGTCAGAGTAGAATTTATAAATTTAAATTATGCTAATTTAATGAATATTGTCTCTAATGAATTGCGAGTGCTCAGTCACAAATGAGGCTCATAATAGGCCATTACTTTGAACAGGGAGAGCAACTAAAATAATCAGAAGGAAATGGTAGAGAGAGAAATCTTTTCTAGTGATGGAGACTTTTTTTTACCTTTCCACCGTTGCAAAGATTGCCAAAGAGCAAGTATTTGTGCTTCCACCCTTTTGTGTTATAGTTGGTGGATAAAGCACTTAGCCAAAAACCAGGACTTTTCTGGGAAAACATTGTTGGCTATCTGAAGACTCATGATAATGCTGTGCTGCTAGGAACACAAGCATGATGGAACGAGAAAGGACTGTGAGTGTGACTTTTTCTGGCTCTTGCCATTTGGTTCTGCTGATTAGATCCTAGGAGCATCCTCAAATGTATTTGACCTTGTCTTTGTATTTACTTTAAAAAACAATAAACATGCTTATTATTTTTTGATTGTGGATTGCAGTGTACCTTGAAATTAAAAGAAAGATAACATCTGGAAAGACTTCTGAATTGGAGCTATGTAGAATATCGGAGTATTTCTGATCTAGTCAATATAATATAATATAATATAATATAATATAATATAATATAATATAATATAATATAATATAATATAATATAATGTAATATAATATAATATAATATAATATAATATAATATAATATAATATAATATAATATAATATAATATAATATAATATACTTGATTATTAGCACTTGAACTCAAGTTACTGGGTTTTAGCCATTGTGGTTTAAAAAAAGTATTGCTAGAATGGTCTTATGTGATCAGTCAAAAGAAAGGTATGACATAATAATAATTATTCTTTTGAGTGGCAGGATTATTACCCATAATTTTGTTGGTGTAATGTGTATTAAAGGTACATACTCTTGAGTTGTAGTCATGTCGTTAGTTATATGTCAAGTCAAAATGGAACTGTTCAACACAGGCTTATATGGAAATAGTAATCGTCATCAATTATGTTGTTATAATTTCAGCTATATTGGTGATTTTTGTTTTGAAATAAGAATCTGTGTATCCTTCTATCAAAATAATAATTTCCTGGAGGTAATAAATGTACTTAAAACCAGAAAAAGTTTATACATAGACCTTGCTGTGGTTTTCTGTGTTTTGTAGCAGCAATGAGCTTCTAATGTAAAGTAACTCGACTTGAAGCTCACTGTTTTAAAAGTGTTTTTGAAGTGCCTTTGAAGTGTTTAAAAGTAATAAATAGCACCCTCTAGTTATTAACCTAGGTATGTGCCTAGAAAAATGTATATTTTGGGAAGAAATTCAGTAGGCAAAATGTCAAAATACATTTTTTCTATTATTCTTTGACAGTTGTCTTTCTGTGCCCATGTTGTATATTGTTTCTCTGCTGCATATTTACTGTATATACTGTTTTATTGTCTTGAGGCATTTGAGGTAAACAGTTGGCATTTGTACTCTAGTTCTCCAGAATATTCTTGAGCAGCTCGAGCAGATCCAAAAGACAAGCAAGTGTTGTGTCAGGAATTGTGTTAAACTCTGTAAAATAAAACAGATACGGGCAAGGGGAAACACCCTCTTTTACCAATACTTAGTATATGTTTGTACAGCTGGCGATTTGTGCTCCTTCATATTCATTGACCTAGAAGTAGCCAACAGTTTAATGCGTTCTTGGAGGGGAAAAAAGGTGTTATGGAAAAGAACTGCCACATCAAAGCCTCTCCTCAGCTTGTAAAATGGTTTCCACCACTACCTTCCTCAAGCCTATCGGAACACTCAGCACTTTCTCCCTCTCAAAAGAAAGCAAGCCTTTTTATTAAGGAATGGCCTTGGAGCTTTATTTATATTAAAATGATAAAAGTGACACAAAGCAGTTGAAAAGATCTATATAGTTCAAACAAAAGTCCATCAGAGATGTAATGTAAATTCTGTGTAATGTGTCTCTATCAAATCAAGTCATACGATTCAGCTGTTGCATAGAGGCAAGTAAGTACTCCCTTTAGGAAAGTGTTGCTCTGTGGAATATTTTTTTAAACAACTCGAATGTGGTCTAAAACTTCATGCCTATCAAATGGTTTGTATTTTACTGGTCAGATCTACTGTTCCAAAGTCTTATTTGTGACAAAGGAAACTAAGTGCTTGATAATTAGTTCCATGATACAGGTTCTTGACCACTGTGGATATCATAATTTAATATTATTCATACCTTCCCTTAATGTAGAATGTTTGTATTGACCTTTTCTTCTCCAGCATTCTGCTTAGATTCCTGGGTTTTTCATTTAGCATGCTAAATAATATAGGGAGGCTGAAATAATTTTGAAGTAATACTACAAAAAAATCTTTCTTTCCATTAAAATCTTTTTTTCATTCATTTTAGCACAAGCCCACCTTACTGCTGTGTGGACCTTTATTCTTTGCGAACAGGAGAGATGGTCAAGTCCATACAGTTCAAAACTCCTATTTATGATCTGCATTGCAATAAAAGGTAAGGATGTTTGCTATACATTCCTTCTGTGTTAGGGCATGTAAAATTTCAGTAATGAGTACAATTTCTGGTGTATGCGCTCCCTGACTTTATTATTTTGTCTTTCCTGTAAACAAAGCTTTGATTCTTCATTTCTCAAGTAATATTTCCATTTGAATGTGACAATATGCTTCTCCAATGGCTTTCATTTAAGAAGCTCAAATCATTTTGCATCTGAAATCATTTAAGCTTCTTCCAGTTGTGACGAAGGTGAGCAGGAATCATTGGAATCCTCTACTATCCACCTACAGATGGAGAACTGGGATCACTGAGAGTTTAAACAGTATAGAGCACTAAAGGGTTGATGTCTCGTCTCTTTGTGTTCCATTGTTCTGTCACATATTGCCTTCCTGCACATACAAACAATTCCTAGTGTGCAGTCTGTGTTTTACATGAAATAATGTTTCTGTGAGTCAAATAACAAAGCAGCATCTCTTAGGTGGGATAACATCATCTTAATTTCTGAGGGAAAATGGCTTAGAATGCTGAGCGTCATAGAGTTCAAGTAGAATAGAATCTATAGTTTCCAAAGAATCATGAGTTCAAATTTTTCTTAATTCACTTTAGATCTTTATCTCTCCAAGACACACAAAACTGAACACCCTTGTAGTTTACAGCATCTTTTTAAGACAGAAGAGAAAATGCAGTATCCCTACATGAGGATCTTGATCCCTCAGCGCTCCTGATGAGAGAATTGGATGCAGTGACTTTGACCAAAGTCCATGATTTTGCTGCTTGCTTTAATGCTTCCTTTCACCCAGCCATTCCTGTTACCAGTCACTGCGTGTCTCTAAATACCTGATGGAAGTTGTGAAATGTGATTCATGTGCAAGATGTAGAGTGCTGAATGCAGAAGTTACTGCATTTGGCAATACGTGTTTTCTTGCCGGAATAGATGGTCTTCAGTAAGGAAAGTGACATAATAACACAAATCATTAAGAACAAACCAAGACATCAGAGTGATATGTTTTATGTGCCTGTTTTGTATGACAGTAAGTAGCATGCTTGTGTATGTGAAGACCACAAAAGATTATGAGCGTGTATCAAACTCATGCAACTGAGGGAAGTTAGCAGTGTTGGAGATTGGATGGGGGGAAAAAAAAAAATTAAGTAAATATATATAAAACCCCCTCAACTAACTCTAGAAGCCACAAAGGTTTTGTTAAACAGACATTTGTCTACCATTGTACCATCCAAATCTGAACAGTAATGACTACACTAGGTCAAGTAGAAGTTACGGAAGAAAAGCGGTATGACTGAACAAATACCCTTAATACCACAACTAATCTAATAATGAGGAGGATATTTTGGTGGTGTGAATGTTTAAAGTAGGAAAGGATGGTCGTTTTTGTTATCCCCATCAATCTGTTTATTGTGGCGTGTGGGTATGCTTGTTATATCAAATACCAGTTTCACGGAAGTGGTTGAGTTGGTGAGAGTTGAATAGGTCACTGTTCCTTTAAAAGCTGTCCGAAGGAGTTCAGTACTTATCTGTGCAACTGTCCCTTGAAAAATTTAAAGTTCCCTTGTGTGCAGTGTGTTGATAGTAAATCTTTCCAGCCTGGCCTCCTAGCAGAAGAAAAATCCAATTGTAAAAACAGTCAAAAGGCAAATCATCATTCAAAGTTTCTCCCAACTAAAAAGTCTTTCCAGGTGCTAATGTTTCTTTTCCTAAGTGGTAAAAGTGGAAAAGCTACTTCAAAGCTGTGTGGCTGTATCCAGGGTAGCTGCTTCTCTGGAACGTATCAGATTTTGTTATTATCCAAGGAAAGCTCACTATTTCAGATTGAAAATGCATTAAATGTGACCAAGTGCAGCGCTAATGGTGCGTTAACTGTACTATAGCCTAATGGAGTTCAAAATTTGAATTTAAAATAAAAACTTGAGTTGCAGAAGAAGGGAAAACTGTTTATTATTTATGTATTTATACTCTAGAATCATCCATCTGGTAGGTTTCCTTTATGCAGAAAGACAGTACATTTTCAAAGAGTAGAAAACAAAAATCTACAGGATTTGGGGATATATGACAACCAAATATAAATAGGGTTTTCTGTATGCGTTGCACTTGCACATGCATTCAAAGTCCTTCCATTATTCATTGGTTAACTTTCTTTTAGGCCTTGGGGAAGAAGCTAGAATTTATACAATTTCTTTTGGTTTTGTCTCCTGTAGTTTAAGCAATTGGAAGATATGTTGCTTGACTAAAACTACTATTTTGTCCAGAACTAATAGTCATTTATATAAGCAGAGTTTATAAGTTCTAAAAACTGAAATTTATAAATCCGAACAGGGTGGGGAAGCATATTTTTCACAATGAGCGAGCTACAAGCAACTAAGAAGTCCTATTTTAATTTCTTGTGTGCGACTTAACACATTTGAATCCCTCTTGCTGAGTTACGTGTTCTGCCCTCTTCTTTTGGCAAGTAAACGGCTCCCTCTGAAACTGTACGTGTGTTTCCTGTTCTAGGTCTGTAAAGCTGTGAACATGAGAGACTTCTGTCCGATAATGTCCCTTGATTTTTACCTTCCTTCCAAGAATTTGTACTTGTTTTTTTTTAGATAGAGGCATACTGATAAACAGAGCAGCGACAGAATCCCAGGATAAGATGTTGTAAGTCCTGAAAGAATTGGAGATACAGAAGAGCGCTTATTACTTTAATCAGCTTTTGTATCAGGCAAATAGAAAGTGGCTAGTGCAACACCAGCCTATCTGGTAGGCTTCAGGAGACATCTTGGGAACTACAGATCCAATCTACTTTATTTGGCGATTGTGTTGGTAAAAATAATAAGAAAGTCTAATAGCAGACACATAGATAAATCGTGCCTGTTGGAGGAGAAATACTACCGTTTTCTAGGTGGAAATTGTGACTCAGAACTTACTTATATATCTGAAAACATAAGCAAGCATGTGGGTAAGGCATGTATTTTGATTTTAGTGTAGTCCTTTGCCAAAGAGTCTTACAGGTATTGAGCTCTCCTTGGATAAAAAGGAGGTATTCTTGTGGCTAAACAGTTAAAAATAGGGAAAAAACCCAGGAGGACATAATGGCTGGTTTTCATACTGGATGTGTGTTGAGGCTGATTTGATTCATCATCGTTTTAAAGATTATTATTTTACACTCTAATGTGTAGTCATAACTTTCAGATAAAGCATTAGGTGTGTATTCTAGTCATTGAGAGATGCAATTAATTTTTTGCCACATCATATCTACAATTCAAATTACTAGAATCACATTTAATGATGCTCCATATTGTCAGCTAATTAAAAAAAAAAAAACTGTCTCATATTCTTCCTAATGAGAAAATAATCAGATTCTTAATTATGTTGTATTGCTGAATGTTCCAGATAGCTGGTTGATTTTATCTGTTTATTTGTCAGCTTCCCAGGTGGCTCTTTCGTTTCAGGAGTCTGAGCGTTTGGTTAAGGGAAGTCAGCAATGCAGGTGAAGATGTATCCTAGTTACAAAGCTTTCAAGATGCTTCACTTTCCAAATTTGCATCTTTGGCCTCTTCGTTTAGACAGTACAGTGTTTCAGGCATAGTTATCACATGGCTTCTGTTCTTTGTTTCAAATAGCGAACACTTATTTTACAGTAGAAGTGTACATGTACAAGCAAATACATAAACACACACCTATGATTTTGCCAATTGACACAAATTCTGCTTCTCACAACTGTATTTGTGTGCTGATGGTCTTGATACGAAAAAAAAACCCACCCCGCTTTTCTAAATAAGATGGTTTAATAAATTTGCAATGAGATGGGCAATGGGATTATTTAAAATTTAGCTTGTGTTCTACCGATTGTTGATTTGATTGTTATTTGAGTCATTGAAAGTAATTCAGGATCCTTGCAATTCCATTCTTTCTTTTTAATGGAGCTTTTACTGCAGGAGGTATATCATAAATATGCTGTGTTGTTCTGTATCAGATCTGTGTACTTCCTGAAATGAAGGTTATGTGGTAGGGATGAGAGAGAATCCTCAATAACTGCCATGTATTGGTAACCTGGCAGTTTATCACTGTGGAATTTATATTGATGCTTTTGAAATAATTACATTTAGATATTGAATCTTTAAGCCAATGCATTTAATGTTTAAAGTACACGTTCCATTTCTGTGTTTACAGGATACTTGTTGTTGTCCTGCAGGAGAAAATTGCCGCCTTTGACAGCTGTACTTTCACCAAAAAATTCTTCGTTACAAGTATGTATAACAATTGGGTTCAGTCTCATTGCTCTAGTGGTGGAGTAAGATAAAACAGATTTTTTGTGTGTGTGTTTTTTATTTCTGAGTCCTCAAAGCAGGTCTCCATGCCTTCATTTGGAGTTTTAGGAAATCTGTGGCTTTTAAAATAACCCCAAATGTTACTCTATGGATCGTTCTCTTTTGCGTATTTATTATTGCCGTTACTAATTGCTAACTGTTGCAAATAAATGACATCCATAGGTAGCTGAGAAATTATTTTGTTCATTTTGCACAAATATGTGCAGAAGTTTCATGTTTTGAGCTCAGGTTGTACACTTAAGCAGCAGTTTGAAACCACATTGACAGCGATCTGCCTGCATTTTTTCTCGTTCCTTAGGCACAGGTACTTTTTTTTCTTTTTTTTTTTTTTTTAAATGTGTCTTAAGCAGGCCCCAAAGCTCACACAGGTCAATGAAATGTAGTGGAGAAACTATAGGCAGGTATTTGCTTGCAGGTGCTTTCACATATATCTTGAACATGAAGAAACCGTTTGCTCAGACTCCCGTTTATTCGTCTGTACCCAATGACTCCCCTCTCAGTAGGAGGCAATGGATTGTAAGGGTAAGGTGCTCTCCAAAAGCTGTTCCTCCACCCTGAGTCCCTTTGCTGCCTCAACATCTGTGACACAGTAATTGATACGTTAGTAGAGAAAAATGTTTTTCTGCTGCCTGTGCTCTGCTCTGTCACAGGATGTGATTAGGATTAGGATGTCATTTACCTGCTCCCAAGACTGTGTGTGTTGTAATGCTAAATACCCAGAAAGTATTCACCTCCTCCCCAAAATACTTTTTTTTTTCTGAGCAGTTAGTGACTAGTTCTACTGTTTATCAATTAAAACAGCCTCTTAAAATCTGTAGATTACTGAGGGATCATAATTTACTTTGGAAGGGTCAGTTTTTATTGTTAAAAAGGAGAGTCTGAAATTTTCTGGATGTATTTTCAGTCACAGTTGGAAAAGTTCTAAATTATCTTCTTATATTATTAGTATTTAAAGAAAAAATCTAGTTAGGAGAAGCTGTTTCTTGCAGTAGTTTGAAGAAAAGCAGCTTTATGCAGTAATATTCAAGTTGCCAATAGGTGTCAGTTTCTTCCTATACATGGATGTAAGATACTGGGAATCTGCTGGGGTTCAGTCAGGAGCCAAATGGGACGGGACTTGTTTGTGCCCTTCTACTCCTCACTCCTCCTTTTTATTCCACCAAAGAGAATTAAGATGTAAGTGGTGCTTATATTTTAGATCAAAAGCAAAAAAATAAAAAGCCCTCAGTGATGTATATATTTTGTCAGTTCTTGTGCTTTTCTAATTCCAGTTATTGTTTTTTTAAAAAAGATACTGCAACTTGTTTTTAAAAACTAATCCACTGAACTGTATTTTGAGAAACAGGTATCCTATTCCTAACCAGAACTTTTGATTTGCAGTGCATTTCTGTGAAACGGTGATGGAATTTAAGAGGATAAATAAAGCTTTTGGAGATTTTATTTTTTTAAATTATTTGAAAATCCAAACTCCTGAAATGTCATTATTCACAGTGTATTTCTCCAGTTATGCTGTGGTTTTAATACAAGAAACTCAAGATGTTCTCAAACTTTTTTCTAGTTCTGGGGTTCCAAAGCTTGGTTAAAGACACTCCTCGTTTTGTCCTGGGCATTTCAGAAAGCTGGGGGACACAGCAGTCGGCTGGAGCTGCTGCCACCCCAGCCCTTCCCCTGTCCCCACCCCAGCTTGCCTGTGGCCCGTGATGGCATGGTACTGAGCAGAAAGACGTCTGCTTTTTTTCCTAGATGAATGGGTTTCTTGGACCTGTGCTGGTGAATAGTTGTCCTGAGGATTTTGAAGCTTAGTTGTTTCACTTAATAGCTTATGCTATCAAGCGGGTGTTACGCTCTGGTATGTTGAAGGCTGCAGTAAAGCTTTTGTCTAAGCTTTCAGATTTCGTATGTGCTGAAATCTCTTTGACCTAAAAGTATATCTTTAAAGGCTTAAGTTACTCTGTGTTTGAAATTTGATGTAAATGAGCTACCTAGTTAGCTGTGTAGATTTTTGATAGTCAGCCAACTGGCCAGCAACTGGGCTCTTTTGCTACGCTGCTTTTTTTTTTTTTTTTTTTTTTTAAATTTAGGAAAGGGCAGTGTCAGTTTAAACTGGAAAAGTAGAACTCTGTGGAAAGGAAGCTCAGCAAAAGGTCTTTTAGGCCTCTTTGTTTCCATTATTGAAGCATCCCTGCTCAGCAGGACAGTCAGCTGGCACCCCATCTCGACCCATCCTCAGCTGGACAGAGGCAGTAAGAATGTCACTGGCTGCCCAGAGGATTTTTTTTGTCATGAAGAAGGTTCTCAGCTGTGTTACCTGACTGCTTTTGGTCAGAAGCAATGGCACAAAATGTCAAAAATATTATGTGAGGATCGCTAGCTCTTCAAAGACATTTTTGTTACCGTGTAAACCGCTGTGTAGAAAAAGAAATATTTCTTTCAAGAAGATTTGGTGAGGGTGTGGAAATCACATCTTCCATCCATATCAGTTAAGTGACCTTGGAAGCCTTAGAACCTCATTGAGATAGCTAAAGAGCAAACATAATTAAGCTGAAGCTCTCTTCCATTTTGTTGACTATTTATACATAGAAATTAAATGCAGAGTGTACAGTTAAAACCAGTGTCAAGAATTCTGAAGTTTGGTGCTCCTCAGAAATGCTAATGCAGCTGTGTTGCACATGAGTAGTATTTGTCTTTCTGTTTTTGTTTTTGTGGTTGAATGTGTAGCTTAATATATTGTTGTAATAAATATACCATAAAATATTCAGGATGTAGAACATGGTCAAGTTTGTGCTGCCGTTGGAATGTTTAACTCCTGCATTTCCTGATTTTTCTTGAGCAAATTTGACATAGTACTAATCTTTCTTTTTCTGCATGTCATTAGATGGAAATATGCTGATTTGACTTGGATGGCAGAGAGCCAGCACATTTTGTTTGTGCCTTTTGTAACAAAAACTCAGTGTTCAGGTGCTGCAGTCTTGGTATGTGAATTTAAGACAGGTGCTTAAACTTAGAGAAAACACACTGTAGATACTGTAGAAAAATTACCAGGATATCCTATAATCCACCCCGTGTGGTATTCTTATTTTTAAATATCTGCTAAGGAAAGGCATAGCATCAGTCTGCAAAGAACTCACAGCAGTACCTCTTGTATGGATCTCCATTCTCTACTTGCTTTCGCTTGGAGCCAACTCGGTTTTGTTAAGAAAGGGAAGGACAAAGCCAGACAGTAATTTCATATCCTTCACTGACCAAACTTCAGAAATTCATTTGATACTTACAATAAGAATGTGTTCCCTTTGGTAGTTGTGAATGTCAAGGTGTGGATTTTAAATAGATTTTTAAATAGTTGAGTTTTATTGTAGTTAAGATTTCCTTCAGAACCTTTTTCTGAATACTGCATGTGAATGAATGATCAGAAATGAAAGGGCTGTAGAGGCTTTTATTCCCCCTACTTTGCTCTAAACAATAGATGCAGAAATGCTGAATTTCATTGATTTCTATTACATCAGTGTTCCTTCATCCCTTCTCCAAAAATGCTTACTTAGTGGAACATTGATGATTATGAATATGGCCTGATGGATACTTTCTTCTCTGTAAAGAATATCCTTCCCACCCCCTGGGCCCTAAGTAAAGATTATCACAGATAACATCATGCATGTGGCATCATCTTTGCGTCCGATAACTAGTGCCTGCTCGGTTTCTCTGGCCCTTCCACTCCTCATATTGATATATTCTCCATCCGTTATACTCTAGGGATGAAGACAGTTATTGCAGCCATTAGCTGGCACCACATTTCTATTGATGCTGTACAGCTAGAGCCTTAAGAGGTAATTTTCCAGATTTTAGTCAGAGTACTTTATTGTATATAAAGTCTCAAAAGACTTGCCTAACCAAAAGCCAAAAATTATTCAGTGTATGTTAAATGCACCCCACCTGCACCTCTCAAATAAAAAACCCTCCAAAACCAAACGGTGTTTGATACTCTAATCTGCAATTTGGATTTGGTGTTCTTGTTTTCACTGACATTCACATGCAAGAAATCTCGTGGTTTCAGTTTGTCACAGATCTGATCTGGAAATCATCTAGGCTGCTTTTGTACATTTTTGTTAGATTTGTTAGAATTCCTTTTCCCTGATCGGCACACAGGGAGCAGTTTGATCTCTTTGCTTTGAAGTAAAAACACTGGATGTCTTAGGAAAAGGTTTAATGCCTGAAGAGTTACAAACAGAACTTCTGGAAGAATGTACGTTTCCCTTCCCAGCTGTGATCAGCGAGTGGCAAGTTATCCTGGATATCCCACATGGTGTAATAATGGATAGGGTTCCTCTGTGGAGGAAGACTCTTCAGTTTAGGTTGAAAGTCCTTAGGGCAGGTGGGAAGTGAGCTCCTGATTCACAGTGTTTTCTTGATCAGTGAGAGAAGCCAAGTATGTTCCTGTGAATTGTATGTAAGCAGTTTTTATTTTTATATACACACACACACACACACACACATATATATATATATATATATATATATATATATATATATGAACACACACCCCTTCAGGTAATTTATCTGCCTTCCCTGAGAAATACTGGTTTGATCTTGACTTTGCTTTTTAACAACATTATTTATAAGAGTGTATTTTTCCTGAATGTGGGAATCAGGGTATCACTATCAGGCTAAAGCTGAAATAATTTTTACAAAGGTCTTCAGGGCGACTTGGTAGATTTATGGAAATAAATGTCATATTTGCTTACAGGGTGTTTTGCTATATTGGAGGAAAGTGTAAATACAACAGAAAAATTGCATAAAGACAGAAAGTAGCCGTTGGTACCCAAGATGTATATCTATCATATCTCCTGGGTTTGACAGTTTTAAAAATTACGTGTATAACAGGAAGTGCTGTTTGTTTCTGTGCAAGTTATTTTTATCCAAATCAC